GATCTAAACTGTAGAGTTCTCTATCTTGGACAATGAGTCTCCCTCTTCCTATTGATGTTCCATTGTAAACTCATTTTGTTTGTCCTTTCACCAGAGTGGAAAGACACTGAGGTTGGTCCTTTCAAACAATCACTTAGGCTCTCCCCACTATCACATTACAGGGCTATCTACCTATTCATGATTCAGCAAAAAAAAGAGAAAGAAATAAATTTGCTGTGCTCACTGCTAATCTCTCTCCTGCTTCTATCCTCAGTCACTGCCAATCATCTGATGTCCCTCCAAAATAACAGATTTTACATTCTTTGAGATTGGCCTTGAATGGTGTCAGGATAAAGTGGATGATATTTCTTTAACTGTACAGCTAATGTCAGCTTCAGTTTCTTTCATTCATGGGCTGGGGATGAAATGAGGGAAATTGTGAGGGTGAGGTGGCCGAGAGGATTTAACCATAGGTTGGCATGTGGATGCTTAATCTTGGTGCCAGCTGTTTAATGTAACCTGCCCAGAGTTCGTGTGTGGCAAGATGGGCAGTAATAAATTTTACAGATAAATAAATAATGTTTATAGTTGTAATATATAATACAACCTGTGTCTTGTTGGGTCATTGTTTTAAATATATTTCCTTACCTAAACAGAGAAACAGAATGACCAAAGGTAGGCAAAAAGGCACTAGGAACAGGAGTGACTTCCAACTTCCTTCTGCCTTCCCCATTGAGTTACGTTATAGGATTCTGACATGGAGCATTGGAAATCTATCTTCCTTCCTTCCTTCCACCCACCCACCCACCCACCCACCCATCCATCCATCCATCCATCCATCCATCCATCCATCCATCCATCCATCTTGCTTTCTCTTTCCAGCAGGCAGGTGAGTGGCTGCTGCTAGTTGGGGGAGGGTGCAAAGGATTGCAAAACTGGCTGGGAAACTGTCACTGAACATTGAAAGTGAAGATCACATGACCACAGCAGCATCCCATCAGTGCAGCAGCAGCCAGTAGCACTGAGGCAGCCACAACGTCCCCAAATTTCATTTCCTTGGGAGTCATGAATCCTGGATTTTGGAAACATTCTGTAAGTTAGCACATTTGAAGTACTTTGGTTCAAAAATTGTTTATCTGTGGTGCATCCTTTCACCAAGTTAAAGATCATTACTATAAGAGTTTTAGTGTTGAACTTAGTATTTAATATGGATGGCATTTTAATTGCTGGGTGGCAGCTGCCCAGAAATTGATATAAGATGGATGGCTATAAAAATGTTTTAAATAAATAAATAACACGGCAGAAAAAGGATGTTGCCAGAGCATGCTTGGGCTATGGTTAGGTTCAAGCAGCTTTGTACATTATGTATTTCCTCTCATGAAGTGGCTTAATGTTTTAGATGCTTTAGAACAAATCAAGTGGTCTCAATAAGCTTTTAAGAACTTGTCTCCTTTACGCAGTGGATTAGTGCTTTCGAATTCCAGAGAACATAGCTTTTTCCCCTGTGAAAGGAATTTCCCCAAAATGTCAATGGGAAGAGAAGCTGCCTCTACCTCAACCAATAGGCAAAAAGAGATTCAGTACGGTGAAATGTTAACTTTTTCAAACTATGGGTTATGACTGCAACCGATATACCAAAGTACTCAAAAGCTAAAACAAGGTCTTGAAAAGGGAGTAGCAGCACAAACCTATCTTGCCCTCTCTTGCTGGACAGAGGGATGAGGAACAAAGGAGCTGGGATAGGTCCTCAAGGATCCAAGACCACTCCTATTCCTAATTTTTCTGGCCCAGGTCTTAAAAAATATGTTTCTTGTTATCTAAAGACAATAATGAATCTTTGGGGGCTTTATTGGACTCCACAGTGGATGTTTTGAAGATGCAGTAATTTTCAAGGGATACCAGTACACATGCTTTGGTTATCTTAATCAGTTGCTTCTTATTTGTTGCATATTGTTATCATGGTGACTCAGATTCCTGCGAGGAAGCTAAGGTTCAAAGATATTGATGTGTTTTTATAGTGTATCCCTAAAATGTGGAACCTGTTTATTTTGCATATATACAGGAAACCCTCGACGTACAGCTATTCATTTAGTGATGGTTCAACATCGTAACGGCATTGAAAAAAGTGACTTATAACCAGTCCTCACAACAGTCACAGCATCCCCACTGTCACATAATCAAAATTGGGGGGGGGGGGTTGGGGGTTGGCAACCAGCATGTATTTCCTATGGTTGAAGTGCCCTGGAGGGGGGTCATGTGATTGCCATTGCCCAGCTGGCTCATGATAAGAAAAGTCAATGGGAGAACCCTAATTTGCTTAACAACCATGTGATTTCCTTAACAACTGGACTGTGACAAAAATGGTCATAAAATCAGGCGCAACTCACTTAACAATGGTCTTGTTTAGCAACTGAAATTCTAGGATCCATTGTGGTCATAGGTTGAGGACTTTCTGTAGTGTTTGAATTGTTGCTGAAAAGATGCCTATGGAGATTCTCAGTCATCCAGGTCATGGCTGTCCCAAAGAGGCAAGAGGCGACTGTTTTCAAGAGGCGACTGGATTTTCTTTGTTTTGCTTTGAAGAGGTTTTGCTTCTCATCCAAGAGGCTTCTTCAGCTCTTTCTTCAGTTCAAGAGCTGAAGAAGCTTCTTGGATGAGAAGCGAAACGTCTTCAAAGAAAAGTAAGTCCAGTCGCCTCTTGAAAAAGCACCTTTGGGACTACTGAAAAGATGGTTATGTATTCTTGGAAAGATGCACATGTACTAGACCAGGGGTAGGCAACCTTGGCTCTTTTATGACTCGTGGACTTCAACTCCCAGAATTCCTGAGCTAGCCTGCTGGCTCAGGAATTCTGGGAGTTGAAGTCCACGAGTCATAAAAGAGCCAAGGTTGCCTACCCTTGTACAAGACTCTAAATGTTAGCATGTTGAACTGTCTCACTTCTCAAGCTTTCAGACTGATTCTTAAGACACAAAGAAAACATTGTATTCAAGTTTCAATTTGATATTTAAATATTGAGCTGTCAGAATTTTTATAACATATAACCATTAGACCTGTATTGTAGAGAACTAAATGAAACTACATTTCATTTTATGTTAGCTTGATTTATTTAGTTTTTCATATATCATTTGATCTTGATTATATTCACAGGTTTGGTGTTTTATATTTTCACTTGATTTTTTTTTCTTTTTACAACTCTTTAATCCGTTGTTTCGGGGAGGAGTCGGGGCAACTGAGTGGAGCTAAGCATTTACTCACTGGATGCCCTTCCTGAGGCCTACACAGAATTCACAGCAGTTATTTTCTCTTTGCATCCTAGGAGAGAAATATCTGCCACTGCCTAGGATTGAACTCTCAACCTTCCAAGTGGGAGGCCAGTGTCTTCACCTCTAGGCCATGGCCCTGCTTGTTGTGTTTTCACTTAATTAAGTTTAGTTCATTCAGCTCAGTTGAAATATCAAATTACCAAATAAGGCTGTGGATCAGCACTGGTTCTGTAACATTATAAAAGCACTTTCTGAAGTGCTTTTATATTATTATACATAATGGCTCATCCACATATCCTGCTTCTGGGACGGAGAAACATATCACTGTTTCTCAAGGATAGGAATATATAATGTCATTCTCAATCCATTTTAACCCTCTTCAAAGGCAGCCTTGGACCCTTTTTTCTTTTCTCCATCAAAAAGTAGTGTTTTCTACAAAACTTTGGACACAATATAATGTTTGACCAATGGGAGAATATGAGGATATGAAGAGTAAAGGATTGAAATTTACACTGAATTATAATTTATAACTTGAAAGAGAGCTGTTGTATCATTGGTACTTAACACCTGATAAATCCTCAAAAATGTGTAAGGGTTTTGCAAGCACATGTTGGAAAAGTAATCAACTTGAAGGTACTTTTTATCATCTTTGGTGGACACAGAAGAAAGCTAAGAAATATTTGGATCAGATGTGTATTTTAATTTAGAGAATTCTCAAAGTAAGCATACAACTGAAACCAGAGGTTTTTCTCCTAGGTTTGATGGACAAACAAACTGGAAAAAATCAACCATGGAGCTTTATTCTTATAAGGAACAGACAGCAGCAATATTTCTCTATGCACAGAGATGGAAGGACTCAAGAAGGCAACAGTGGATGGTGAAGTTTATGGAGATGACAGAGATGGCAAAATTGACTGCTTTGATTAAAGATATGACTTTGTCTAGCTTCATTTTTACTTGGAAACCACTTTTAGACTATTTTCTTGAAATAGTCACTTGAGAAAAGGGAAGGGAAGAGAAGGGAAGGAATCTGCTTTCTGTCAGAAGCTGTGTTCAAGGCCAAAGGGAACAGTCTTAGTCTTAGAGATATGACTATTTTGTCCCAAATGAAAGCAGTTTCTCTCTAAGCATACTCTTTCCCAGTTTGTGTGCCAGGTTCTCTCCATTAGCTTTTTAACTGAGGAAAACATAGTTTTGAGTAAATAATATCAAGAACTTCAAGTTAGGGAGGAGGGTTTTTTTTTCAATCATCCCCAAATACACCAACATGGCAGGTTCTGAATGGTTAGCCAGATCGTTTTAGGACATGCTTTTAGGAGGAGAACCTAATGCAAGGTTGGATCATCTTCTGCCAAAGAAGTAAATTCATGATGTTCTTGAAACAGCCAACCCTCAAAATTATTAACTGAGGCCCTTTGTGAAATTCAGAAAAGGCTAGCTCCTTCCAAATATTAAACAATCAGTTGTCATTTGATTGTTTCATTGTTTCAAATATTTATATTTCAGGTGAGCATCCATTCATGAGTGAAGCCTGGGGCAAGTTATCCTATTACCCCATTTAAAAGGGTCCAGTATTAAGCTCACACTTTATGATTCCTCAACTACATTGTGGTTGCCAAGAGAGGCCAGGTATGAAATCTGAGACTATTTGTATGCGAAGAATATGTTCCATCAGCATGGGCAGCTCTCACCCTATTCTCACTTCAAACCAGCTGGATGGCAGCTCTATGGCAGAGCCAAGATTTCACTAAGATTTCAGTTTGGAGGAAACAAGGATCCCTTTCCCAAGAGATTCCTCACAGCCCCCTTCACTTCTTTATTCCTGAGACTGTAGATATAAGGGTTGGACATTGGGGTGATGACAGTGTACACCAGAGCAAAAACTGACCCTCGCTGTGAAGAATACTTTGAGGTGGGTGAGAAATAGACAGCAATGATGGCCCCATAAAAAAGAACCACCAAAGTGAGATGAGACCCACAGGTAGAAAAAGCTTTGCGTTTCCGCGAAGAAGTGAATTTCATTATAGTTGCCACTATGTGAATGTAGGTGAGGATGATGAAAACTAAAGGCCCAAAGGTGATGATTCCACCTTCAAAAAAGATGACTGCCTCATTGACACTGGTGTCTGAGCAGGACAGCTGCAGCAAGGGTTGATGATCACAAAAGTAATGGGCCAAGTGATTTTTCCCTCTATAACTGAGACGCAGGAGCAGGCCGGCATGCAGCATGGAGTGTAAAGTAGAAATGATACAACACCCAGCCACTAAATGCCCACAAACCTTCTGGTTCATCACTGAGGCATAGTGGAGAGGATTACAAATGGCTACATAGCGATCCAGGGCCATGACACTCACGAGAAGGAGATCAGTGACACCAAATACATAGAGGAAGAAGAACTGAGCCAGGCAGGAATAGAAGGGGATGGTTCTGGAACCAGTTATCATGCAAACCAGCATCTGTGGCATTGTGACTGAGATGAAGCCAACATCAATGACTGAAAGGCAACGGAGCAGGAAATACATGGGGGTCTGGAGTCGCGCATCCAAGGTGATGAGAAGGAACATTATAACATTGCCCAGAAGTCCAGCACTGTACATGAGCAATAAGAGGAAGAAGAAGAGGAACCGGTCTTTAGACTCAGAAGAAAAGTCCAGAAGAACAAAATCTTCAATATCTGTCCCGTTCTCACAATCCATGAGACCTGCATGGAAAGTCAGTTAAAATTAGAAAGTAATATTGATTTTTCACAAGCAAAAAGCTCCTTGAATGATTGAAAGACTGTCTGTTATAGAGTGTCAAATTTCAATTCAGATATTTCAGCATTTAATGTTTTTACACATTTTGTTGGGATTCAACAAAATCTACAGCCCCGGGTTATCAATATTTGTTTTTCAACATTTGCAAAGACAGTTGGTCTTTTTTTCAACAAAAGTCCTTGGAGGATGACCTTCAACGGTGTGATAATTTTTTTTAGTCTTATTGTTTTTTTTATTATATAAATTTCTAGAGCCTTTTCCTGTCTTTTTACTCTGTATCATTTCATTTTGTAAATCTATGTACTATTTTTAAATGTTAGCTTAGTTTCTTGTAATGTTTATTAAAACAGTGAGTCATTCAGCCTTTCCTTCATATTCCCACTATTTATTATAACCAGGAACAAATTTATTAATAAAAGACAAATTGCAATGTTCTCTTTTTGTCTACGTGTGTCTGTATATTATGTGCTTGTTTCTTTCTGGTTTATCTGTTCTCTCTCTGATTTTTTTTCCCCAGCAGCCAGAGTTGCTAGATTTTTCTCCTCATGGACCAAATGTGCTGGTACTATTTTTGTATAGTCATTCTGAAGATCTGAGACACGTGAAGGACAATAAGGTAGAATTTAGTTTTTTGTTCCAAAGGTTAAAAACCAGCCAAATACACAGGCTGGCTAGGGAAAGACCGAACTGTGGATTGGGAGAAGCATGTGAAAGAAGACTGGGGTGGGGTGGGGTGGGGATAGGAAGCTGATGCTGCTCCCACTTGTTTTATGAGAGAAGAGTTGGCCTATTGGCCAATATTCTTCTAGCTGAGCTAGAACAGCAGCGGCAGCATAGAAAGAAATAAATGTAGAAATAACATCAAATAATCAGGTTCTTCTGACAACACCTGAGTTATCTTTCATTCCTCAACTGAGGGATACTTTCTAGTGGGAGGGGTGACAGAGAAACAAAAGATTTACTTCTTCTCTGTTTCCCAGCTGATAGACAGAGGGGTCTACTGGTTGTTAGCTATCCTTCTCTCCTTTGAACTGGAAATAATATTGAACACAATATTTAAGTAATGGGGAACATGAAAACATTGGTATTATTGGATGATGCTTCATTGCACAGAAACTCTTCATTTCTTTCTTTCTTTCCATTCTTCCCTTCTTTTTTAAATGGCGGCTGTGGATGCTTCAGAAACTGAGTCATGGATTAATATGGAAGAATATATGAATGTATAGAAATGCATTAGTTTTTAACTTTTGGAAATCTGGTCTCACTAGTCCAGAGGCAGAAATGTGCCTTTTACTTTCCACAGAGATTTTGCAAAGAGGTTTTTTTTAAAAAAAAGCAGCATAGATTTCTGTTGCAAACCAAGATGATGAACAGAAATAACAAAATGTTCATCTCAATATAACCAGACATTCTGGTTTGTTCATCTCAATATAACAAGACATTACTTGTGTGGCAACATCAAGCACAAAATGTGTTTGCAGAGATCTGAACTCGTATGCACTACATTTCAGAAGATAGTTTTTTTCAGGACAATAATCTATTTTATCGCACCATCATTTGAAACATATGTGTTACCATCCTTTGCTTTCTCAAATCTGAGGGTAATCTATCTTTGGGGTGGTGGGGAGAGGTAAAGACAGAATATTGCATTTTCCCAACCCAGAACAATCACAGCATATACTTTTTAACACAANTTATATATAGCCTGCGGAATGATGATGTCAAAGGAGCCTTTCGCAGAACTTTGTGCAGGAAATTGGGAATGTAATGAGTCCTTTTCCTGCAATGTATTGTGCTGAATGTTAAACCATAAGAAATGTATCAGTTATCACCACTAAGTTCTCAGGGAGTCTCAAAATAAATGCCACTTCCTCCCATGAGAGGCTTAGTGATGTGATTAGCAAGAGTGGACTGCCCTTACTGATCCATTTTTCACCAGGGACAGAAGACATGATCCTGTTGGTATGGCAAAGGCAGCCATGTTGCCATGGTATGACCTCTTTCCATTGCTCAGTTCATTTTTCCATCTCCCTTGTGTACCTGCAAGGCTGTGGCCTCATTTATAGTGGGCGCAGAAGCTTTGAGAGACTGGTGAAATGAACAAGCTGAATCAAAATCATATGCTTCATGTGGGAGTTGGGCAATAACAACAACAAAACAAATAGGAAGAGACAAGGAAAGACAGGAAAAGTGCAATGCACTGACTTTTTGAGGTTCAGTCAGTGGGAAGAAGTGAGAGGACTACCCAGGTTTGACCTAAAATCAGTGGTTCTCAATCTTTTCTTCACCATGGATCCCCTTTAAATACCTTTTGTGGCCAAGGACCAGGGCCATGGGCCCCCTTGACTTAACTCAAGATTTAAATCATAATATTTCTTCAAGCCTTTGTGAACCCCCTGTGACAATATTGTGGCTGCCCAGAGGTCCGTGGACCACAGATTGAAAAACACTGATCTAAACTGTAGAGTTCTCTATCTTGGACAATGAGTCTCCCTCTTCCTATTGATGTTCCATTGTAAACTCATTTTGTTTGTCCTTTCACCAGAGTGGAAAGACACTGAGGTTGGTCCTTTCAAACAATCGCTTAGGCTCTCCCCACTATCACATTACAGGGCTATCTACCTATTCATGATTCAGCAAAAAAAAGAGAAAGAAATAGATTTGCTGTGCTCTCTGCTAATTTCTCTCCTGCTTCTATCCTCAGTCACTGCCAATCATCTGATGTCCCTCCAAAATAACAGATTTTACATTCTTTGAGACTGGCCTTGAATGGTGTCAGGATAAAGTGGATGATATTTCTTTAACTGTACAGCTAATGTCAGCTTCAGTTTCTTTCATTCATGGGCAGGGAATGAAATGAGGGAAATCGTGAGGGTGAGGTGGCCGAGAGGATTTAACCATAGGTTGGCATGTGGATGCTTAATCTTGGTGCCAGCTGTTTAATGTAACCTGCCCAGAGTTCGTGTGTGGCAAGATGGGCAGTAATAAATTTTACAGATAAATAAATAATGTTTATAGTTGTAATATATAATACAACCTGTGCCTTGTTGGGTCATTGTTTTAGAGATATTTCCTTACCTAAACAGAGAAACAGAATGACCAAAGGTAGGCAAAAAAGCACTAGGAACAGGAGTGACTTCCAACTTCCTGCTGCCTTCCCCATTGAGTTATGTTATAGGATTCTGACATGGAGCATTGGAAATCTATCTTCCTTCCTTCCTTCCTTCCTTCCTTCCACCCACCCACCCATCCATCCATCCATCCATCCATCCATCCATCCATCCATCCATCTTGCTTTCTCTTTCCAGCAGGCAGGTGAGTGGCTGCTGCTAGTTGGGGGAGGGTGCAAAGGACTTGGTTGTTTCAGCGGGCAGGACTGGCCTAGGGGTATTTTAATTTAATTAATTTAATTTAATTTAATACATTGACTTATATGCCGCCCTTCTCCCCACGGGACTCAGGGCGGCTCACAGCATATTAAAACAACATAGCACATTTCCCCAATAAAAGCCAATTAAAAACCAAATATTTGTAGCTGTGTCTCTTATTAAAAATCATTAAAAATTATCCCTATTTAAAATTCACCCTAGGTCAGTCCCGNGGTAGCTCGTTCCAGAGGGTGGGGGCACCCACAGAGAAGGCCCTCCCCCTGGGGGTCGCCAGCCGACATTGCTTGGCCGACGGCACCCTGAGGAGGCCCGCTCTGTGGGAGCGTACCGGTCTGTGGGAGGGAGTCTGTGGCAGAAGGCGGTCTCGGAGGTATCCAGGTCCTATGCCATGGAGCGCTTTAAAGGTGGTAAGTAACACCTTAAAGCGTACCCGGAAGGCCACTGGCAGCCAGTGCAGCTCGCGCAGCAGCGGCGTTACATGGGAGCGACGCGTCGCTCCCAATACCGCCCGCGCGGCCGCATTCTGGACCAGTTGAAGCCTCCGGATGCTCCTCATGGGGAGCCCCATGTATAGAGCATTACAGTAAATTGGTTTTAACTAAAATTTAGTAGAAGCGGCCTATTTAAATATTTATTTTTAATCATTTTCTTAAATTTTGTATTATATTGTATTAGTTGTTTTTAAACTGGCTGTAAGCCGCCCTGAGTCTTCCGGGAGAAGGGCGGGGTATAAATATAATAAATAAATAAAAAAATAAATAATTGCAAAACTGGCTGGGAAACTGTCACGGAACATTGAAAGTGAAGATCGTATGACCACAGCAGCATCCCATCAGTGCAGCAGCAGCCAGTAGCACTGAGGCAGCCACAACTTCCCCAAATTTCATTTCCTTGGGAGTCATGAATCCTGGATTTTGGAAACATTCTGTAAGTTAGCACATTTGAAATACTTTGGTTCAAAAATGGTTTATCTGTGGTGCATCCTTTCACCAAGTTAAAGGTCATCACCACAAGAGTTTTAGTGTTGAACTTAGTATTTAGATATTATGTTGTTTTAATATGAATGGCATTTTAATTGCTGGGTGGCAACTGCCCAGAAATTGATATAAGATGGATGGCTATAAAAATGTTTTAAATGAATAAATAAATAACACGGCAGAAAAAGGATGTTGCCAGGGCATGCTTGGGCTATGGTTAGGTGCAAGCAACTTTGTACATTATGTTAGTATTTCCTCTCATGAAGTGGCCTAACGTTTTAGATACTTTAGAACAAATCAAGTGGTCTCAATAAGCTTTTAAGAACTTGTCTCCTTTACACAGTGGATTAGTGCTTTTGAATTCCAGAGAACATAGCTTTTTCCCCTGTGAAAGGAATTTCCCCAAAATACAAATGGGAAGAGAAGCTGCCTTTACCTCAACCAATAGGCAAAAAGATTCAGTACGGTGAAATGTTAACTTTTTCAAACTATGGGTTATGACTGCAACCGATATACCAAAATACTCAAAAGCTAAAACAAGGTCTTGAAAAGGGAGTAGCAGCACGAACCTATC